TTTACATAAATGATTGTTAGTAAAAGCATGAAGAAAAACGATCCTAATATATTTTCAGTAATAAAATTGTATCAAAAGTCCTAAAATATATTTAACGCTGGGTTTTAAGACAGGTTATCAAAGTTACCTAATAATTGCTGTATTTTCTTAAATAAAAAAAAACCTGGATACTCTTGTAAACGTCTGCTTCCGAAGGTGACTAAAGTTTTGAAAGTTCGTATGTGCTGCAATACGGTATTAACCAAGATTGACTGATGAAGACACTGACTAAGTTGTTTTCATAAAGTAAAAAGCAATGAGAAAGTAAATACTAAGTATTGTATAAGTATTGNGATTAGATATAGAAAAACTTATTTTCTAACTACTGTTACAGCAAGTGCGAGATGGCGAATAAATTTTTTTTTAAAAAATAAGTTAATTTGTTTTCATAAAGTAAAAAGCAATGAGAAAGTAAATACTAAGTATTGTATAAGTATTGTAAAAAGTAATTCATTAAGTATTGCAAAATTTTAATTAGGATCAATTAAATTTAAAAAATTCAATTTCAATTTAAAAAAAGCAAAACCTAGAGTCNGAACAGTTTTCCAAAAAATTGTTTTTCAAATAAACAGTTTAACCTCTCTATGAAAAGGGTAAGAGCTTGAAAGTAAGAAATAAGTTTAATTTTTCCATTTAGAATTTTTGCAAAATATTTTAGTATAAATTACAGACTGTTACGATTATTTGACACATTTTAAACTTTTAACATAAATTTTTGTACATCTAGATCATATTTTAAATTCTTTTTCTAGAATCTAAAGTATAGCTATTTTTTAAAAATTAAACTCTGACTGTCATGTACATACTAGGATTATAAAGATAATATTAAGATTAATTATTTAGCGTGCAGTAAAAAAATTAGATTGATTCACTTTATGAAAATAAAGTCAAAATAGCTTAAAAAGAACAACAAGTGTAACACTTTATTGTGGATTAAACTACTTATTTTACACTCTCTGAACAGCTAAAAAAGTAAACTGAAATATACTAAACTTCAAAACCAGTTTATAATTATAATACAGTAAATAGTTCGAAAATTTGACCAGCTATTTTAAGAAGAAAATGCTAGATGCAACTCGTAAGGATAGTAAAGTTACCTTATACGATTGAACTTGGTAATTTTTAGGAACCACAAATTTCAACATGAAGACATATTACTCAGTGGCGTGAGCGAAGAAAAACAGAATACACGCGCTTTTATATAGGTTTTAAAAAAATGTGTGTGGGATCACTTCCGGCTACTAATTTCTGTGTAATTAGTGAAATTTTATGTGCTTCGAGCCTCCTTGTGCTAGAAGTATCCAAGAAAGCATCAAGAATTCTTTTTATTGTCACAAAAATATTTGTATTAAAAACCTTTTTTCAATAAAGCAAAAATATTGCAGTTTTTAAAGGGGTTAAAAAATTATTCTCAAAAAGTATTGTCACTTAGGTAGCTGATCATAAAAGATGTTTCTAAATGATGTTGTTGTTAAATGATGTAGAGCTGCACAATGGGCTATTGGCGACGGTCTGGGAAACATCCCTGAGGATGATCCGAAGACATGACATCACAATTTTAATCCTCTGCAGAGGGGATGACACCCCTGCTTCGGTAGCCCAACGACCTGCACGCGAAGTCGAGCACTTTATGGTAGAACAGTTTAATGAGGACCAATATCACACACACTCGGTCTCTAACCAGACTGATCCAAGTGGTCACCCACCCGCACACTGACCGCAGCCAGTGATACTTGACTTCGGTGATCTGCTGGGAACCGTGTCTTAACGATCAGCCCACAGCGGGACAAGACGTTTCGAAAAGAAACTTTATAATTACCTAGATTTAAGATTATTTTCCCCTTAATACTAGCTCTATTCACATTTTTTTTTCGCGCTTGAAAACCCTAACACAATCTCGTTTTTCAGGTTTTTATAAAGAAGGTAGTTTACCAAGGTTTTGGAATAGAGTAATGTGCGGGGAATAGATCACAAATCCCGTTTAAAGGTTAGAAGGCTTACACGTAAATTGCATGAAAACCTTTTTAGGTTGACATTAAAAGTTTTTTGCTGAGTGAAAATAAACCTTATTTTGTTGTCTGGGATTGTCTTTCGGATAACCCTGTGAACAATTCCACCCAAAACTGTGAACGTTATGTCCCGTAAGCTAGACATATCTATCTTTGGACTTTACTTCCTTATTCAGTAATTTCTGATCACAAGAATTATCATTTTGTATCGAGTACTTGTACACGTACGGATGAATAAATAATCAGGGTCTTTATGGTAACAAAATAGTGTCAATTCTCTGAACATTTTGAAGTTTGATGACGTTGGATTCCTACTCCAACCCTGAACATATATGTCATTTTTTTTTATCTGATGTCTATTCTTTTATCCCTTAATGACAAATAATTGAGTGCACGGGCATGAATTTATTTATTGTTATATGCTTATTACTTATATCCGTAGTTGAACAGTTAACATTATTTTCGGTTTACGACCACTAATTTTCAACTCCATAGCCTTGTAGTTGTGAACCAATCCAGGAGACTAGGAAACTCCTTTATCAGTACCCACAGAGGTATGATTTGTTAAGAGAATATGGGGAGCTTTGTGACTCGACAGATTTAACCATATATGGCAGTACTTTTACTTTCGTTACTTGTACCGCCGGTACAAGTAAAAAGTACGGAATTATATTTTTGTAGTGGTACTTTTTAAATTTAGTACTTTTACTTGTACTTTCGTTACTTTTTTAGGGAAAAAGTACAAGTATTTGTAACGGAACTGTCGAATGAAATCGTTACGTTTTTCTAAAACTCGGTAAGCTTTCTTAAAAAAAAAAAAAAAAAAAAAAAAAAATTAAAAAAAAAATGCTTATGTTTTTTTAATTTATAAAATTAATGTGCAATATATATGCATTCACAGCTAACTTCGTGTTTAAATACCTTCTGTTTCAACTTATACTGCACATTCAATTATTTTTTACTAGCTCAAAGATCACAAAGCTATCTGAAACCCCGTGTTTGCTTTGTTTATGTTTGTGCTTTTAAAACGCGTTTCTAAAGAGTAAAACAATTTTAAATCAATGGTAATTTAAATAAATAAAAATAATAAACTAAAAATTAAAATCAATAGATAAAATTTCTTTTTCGTGCAAATCCATAAAAAGTTTGATATTAAAATTATATTTGATTTTAAAATTATATTATACGATTATATTATAAAATTATATTATAATATTCTTCCGAATTTTAAAATAAATTAATGTCCATAATTTTCAAAATTAAAAATAATTAAATAAATAACAACAATTTTGCAAAAACATTAAAGAACATAAGAATATTATTCAATAAAATTTCAGGTTACTTTGAATTTTTGATTTCCTAGAAATGTACTTTTAAATCGTTACTTTTTTTGTTTAGTACTTGTACTTTTACTTGTACTTTTTACTCGTTACTTTTTAAAATAAGAACTTTTTACTTTTTACTCGTTACTTTTTTTGAAAATACTTGTACTTTTACTCGTTACTTTTTAAAAGTAACGTTGCCATGTATGGATTTAACGTGCATCAGTCATCATTTACTACACGGAGAGTCTTCGGCTGACGGGGATCAAACCCATAAGCCCTTAGACATAGACCCAGTACCCTGCCAACCAGGCTATCCCAGCCCATTGTTATATGCTAGCATGTATGCACTTCAGGAAGCTGTATTAACTTAGCCAGTAGGGCGTTGGAACCATGTCCGATAAGTCGTGAATTCGAGGTGGTGTTTAGAATGGTGACTGGTGCGCATTAAATCTATCTGGGTCGTAAGTTCCACTAAGTTCCTATATTAAATTAATACCTCTAGGAGTACTAGATCGGAGACTGATCATGCTCTGATACAGGTGTAAATTACAATTTGAGTATGGACGGTGTGAAAATATGTCCTCTTTGTCAAACGGTATTTGACTTATGAATGTTGTCTTCAGATCATCCTCAGAGATGTTTCTCACTCCACCTCCAATAGCCCTTTGTACAGCTTTAGTACGACGTAAATAATTGTACCTGTATGCTCTTCAGGGAGTACGGTTTATAAGCTCTTGTCAGTTTGTTGAGCAGATAGTTCAAGTACTTCAGCTTTACCTGTCCCGCCCCTATTTGGGGCATCCAGGGAATACTGTTGAAGGATCGGATTAGGCCGGATCCTCCATTCTGTTTTCAAAAAGTCTTTTAAAAATCTCTTCAATTCCTTTGTTTAGTTTCTTTTAATGGTATTAAAGTTGAAATTTCTCGGGAAAAATTTAATTCTTAAATCATCATAAACAGGACAGGCAGTAAGTATGTGTTCGATATCTTCATAAGTTTTATAAATTTTGCAGTTCGGGTCTTTCCTGAACAATTTTGACTGATAACTACTTTGGTCTCCATGGTTAGTTAGAAATTGCTTGATAAGATAGTTCAAGTAAGAGAAAGGCATCGCAAAGATACATCCAAGATTGTAGTGAAATTCGAACCTGCTACACCCGTAATGCAGAGGACTTTACGGAATGGCGAAACTACTCAGTCAGGGTATCCCCCTCTCAAACACGTAAATTTTTGAATAATATGTATCGATATGCTTCGCTTCAAATGCCAGAGTGGCCGAGAATCAAAGAACTTGGTCATTAACAGAAAAAAGCCACGGGTTCTTTCTACGAGAGTTGGTTATTGGTTATTGCAATTACATAAATTTTCAGGCTTGTGTGCTCAAAATAGGCTTATGAACCTTCGTCAAGTAGAAGAGGACAGATAGCACAATAGGAGAGACAGCACCAAGTAGTACCGCGTTCTACGAGAGTTTCTGAATAGCATCAACGTTTTGAAAGCACAGAAATTTTAAATCGAGATAAAAAAACAACAACAATGGTGGTCTAGTGATAATGAAGTTACCAGTCGAAAAGTTTATCATTTAGCTAGGGAATAACCACATAAAAGCTTTTAACTTAAGAACTAGACCTGGTCTTATATTTTGCCATGATAAAATCGGTAACATCTGGATTTTACTACTAATCGAAACTTCATTCAGAAAAGGTAAGCAGGTACTTTATTTACGTCGTTCTAGGGCTGCACAATGGGCTATTAGCTTGCCTCATCAAAAACTTAAAATTCTGGTAATTATAACAACTGTGCTTACTTATGTTTGACAATTATGTTTAAATAAGTATTTTTTGAAGAAAAAAAATTAACCTACTTTCTTGCTTGAGTAGTAAATATTCAGAGTTTTCGTTTCGGGAGTAATACAAATATTTAGAAAGCAGATTTTTTTAAATTAATATATTAACCAAAGGATACAGTAATAATATCAAAATTTAATAATAATATTTTTCTTTGCTTCGCATTCAGATTTTGTCTCTGAAATTGTTTTTTCTTCTTTGTGGCTGCTGCTGCTCATTTACTTTTTTCTTCCTCGCTTTCTTTCTTTTTCTGTTTTTTGTAGATAGTCTGCATACTTAAGAGGATTTTCTTTAATTTCTTTCCGAGATCTTCCAAGATCTTTTTGTGCTATTCCTTCTCCGGAAAAAGAAAATAATGTATAAATTGAATAAATATGGCACTAAAAGTCGGAAAATGCATATTTCACACATTGGAAATAATTATTATTAAAATGATTTAAAATTTTGAATCTTAAAAAAACTTTTATTGTGTTACATTTTGTTTAATTTCATACTCAGAATCTACAATGTTATGCTAACTTTATAAATATTTGAACATAAGAGTTTCGATTATTTTTTTTTCCATTTTTTATTTAATTATAAAGAGAAAAAATCTGCCCCATATACATTTATTTAAAAAAAACTGAAAATTTCTATAAAATAACGCAATTTTGTTTGTAATTGCTAAAAAAAAATTTTTTTCATAATTCAAAAATTTTTAATTTAACAGAATTAACTTTAAATTTATTTTCTTAATCATGCATTATTTACAAAACTATTTTCCTGAAAAAACAACAATTTATCTATCTATACACATGTTAATAAACCATTGTACGCACTACCCCCATGCTCAAATGAATATAATTTTGATTTCTTAACCGGAGTTAACGCAAAGAGTGTTTGTTATTGTTGTTTATAAATTCTCCTTCATATCATTTTTCTTAATAGTTATTTAAAATTACATTTATGCTCAATTTAAAGTGACGTTGCGGGAAGAATGTGAATGTTCAAATAAATGTCACGCATGCTACACGAGCATGCCCCACCCGCAAATCTTAATCACCTTAATTAAAATATTTAATTTGTTTTTTTAATGGGATACCTGCAAGTGACGTAGTGAAGGGTATCACAATCCTGATGGGTTATTGAACCATGGCATTTGTTTACTTTAGCAATTGTTCTTTCCGTTCTATTTCGAGTAAACCAAGCCCGTCAACTATCAATTTTTTAAGGGACACATTCTAAATTCTTTCACAAAGATTCTTTCTCAAAGATTTCAATCTTTTGACTATATATTTATTCAGATACTTAACACAAAGACAGGCACAAATCCGCAAGGAACATAAACAAACTATATTATGCATCGAAGTTGCCAGGTGCACAAAACAAAAATATATAACGGTTACAATAAAATGCATTAATAAATAATAAATTTAAGTTAAGTAAAAGAGGCAGACGAGAAAGAATTTTATTTCAACTAATTCGATGTGTGATACGGAGCTGTGTTTAATTAACTTCACGTTAATCAGAGTTCTAACTTATGTGGAGAAACTTAGCTCACCTTTAATACGCCTTTTTGATGATAAAGAATGGCTGACTCTGAGGTCACATGTGTGGGTATGGGAGGTCTTCTTCAAGTGCAGGTACCCAATTCAAAGTATCTTAATAAACTATTTTTTAATTAAAGAATCAAAACTCAAACTGTAAGAAATTTTTCCACGGTGATAAAAATCTAACTTTCGACTGCGGATTTGACGATAGTTGGAAGTAATTTGATTATGCTTACTTTTTGAAATGAAAATTAGTGTATACTTTTGTGTGGACAGAATATATATATATATATAAATTTAGAAGTTTTCAGAATTATTTGTTCAACTAAACCAAACCATGAAAGATAACGATTTTTAGAGCAGTTTTTCACACAGATATAGTGCCACTTTACAAATTAAAATAATCAAGTTAATGATAAAAAAAATAAATTTCATTTAAATAAGGAATAGTTTTATAAAAAAATCGTGCACTTAAAATACAAAATTTCAAAGATACTTAAGGAAGTTAAAATTTCCATCCTCATATCCAGTTTTTGTGGGATTTCTGAGGACTGTACAGTGCGCGACAATTCACAACTCACTCTGAATAACTTGTGATTTAATAATTGGATTTTTACGTATTGGACTCAATCTTCGAAGAGGTGACCTCAAAAATGCTAAATAATTAATGGAGACGATATTTTAAATTCAGAAATCAAACCCCAAAACATACTTTCTCTGAATAAACATGCCTGTTTTGAACGGATTTGGATTTCTGATTCTCAAAACATAGGGGGGTAGCAGCCATCTGGGATATATGATCCCAATTAGTTTGGTCAGGAGAACAGTCCAAAGTTTGGTCATTTTAATGTCAATTTTACTTTTTGCAAATTTTGGCATATCTTTGGAAATTTTTACGGGAATGAATTTTTTTTTTTTTGCACGCATTTATAAAATTAATTTCTCTGAAGATAATTTCATGCAAAAACTAAACTATCCAATATAGAGATTTATCATGGTGTTTAGCGTTTTTAAAAAGGGCTTAAAAGTGCTTAGTTTCTATTTTCGTTTTATGAAAGCCCTGAAAAGTGCTTTTTTCGTTGGGTGCTTTTAAAAATTGCTTAATTTTGTCGATTTTCGCTATGTATAACGTAAAAGCGTGCTTTTCCTATTGTTATATTCAACGTTTTCATAACTGCAATCTATTTCGGTGAACCGTCGGTCTTTAGCGTATGAAAGCGTCAACAACCATTTTATATGTTTGATGAAATACTTGCGTGTCCGCATGTGCGTCCACTAAGCTGGGTCCGGTGTGCTTCTTGTACTCTCATGTGCAACTCTGCTGCATTTTTGAAAGATATTCTCAATTTCAGGTTTCATTTTCCACCCTCTGATATTGAACCAAAAATTCTCTCGATCATTTTATAAAAATTTGGCTACGCACCCTTTTTATGTTTTTCAATTATTTTTTCGGTCAATGCGTATGTTTCAGTTATTCATATATTATTCCATTTAATCATAAACATATAAATTTAATTATTAACATTGAATTAGACGAAGTTCGATATTTGTTTTGATTCCTCTATTGAAATCTATAAACAAATATTCATAGTTCATTTACTTAATGTATTACAGTAAATGCGTATATTGTATTGTAAAACATAATTATTATTGCAAACATAATTACTAGCCGTACTCGTATTGTAAAACATAATTACTTGCCGTACATTAAACATGGAATAAGTTGTTTCTAGATTAAATATTAATTACACAATTACTCTTTAAAAAAAAAAAAAAAAAAAAAAAATTATTATCATCTTAACATAACTTTTACTTTCTAATTGACAAACCTCTCTTCATACGCAATAAAATTAGTATTCTCTGCATGCCATTAAACAAATGAAGATTTTTGTAATTGAAAGAGCCAATCGATGGAGAAAAAAAAATCCAGCCAATTGTGCTTTTGAAGCCAATTTGTGCCGAATCGCAAAGACGAGTGGGGGGAAGTAAAAACTCATTTTATAGGACATGGAAAACGCATCTATAGAGGGAGTTCTTTGTTTTCGATCACGTACATACAACACAGCAAAGAGCAGACAACTAAACAGATGAAAAATCTTTCCTCCCCCTCAGCGTCTTCCCTTATTCTCCATTTTCTTCCTCTCCGTCATCATCTTAACAAAGCCTCCTTCCTCCTCAGGTTTTCTCAAGATCATTCCGTTTCCATGACAACGCTAGAGATGCTTGGGAGAGAAGAACTGTGGAAGAATCTCGTGGTGATGAGAAAAGATCTTGGGCCTTCCCCTTTTTAGAAAAACACGTGGATGGGGAATGGTTTGCGCTAAGTATGCGGTTGATTTGAAATTGATTTAGATATTGACGTTCAGTTGGGTGGGTATTCGGTTAAAAAAGATTTCTTGCGATGGAGTAGTTTTAATGAATAAAATATTGTATCTTAACTATAACATAAAATATCGTATATTACTATATAAAGTATGATATTTTACAATAAAAAATATCGTATATTTTTATAGAAAATATCGCATCATACTGGATAAAATATTGTATTTTATTATATAAAATATCGCATCTTACTAGATAAAATATCGTCTTTTACAAGAAAAATATCGTATATTACTATAGAAAATATCGTATCTTACAAGATAAAATATCGTATTTTACTATATAAAATATCGTATCTTACTAGATAAAATATTATATTTTATTATATAAAAGATCGCATCTTACTAGATAAAATATCGTATTTTACTATATAAAATATGTATTTTGTTAGAAAAAATATCGAATATTACTATATAAAATATCGGATATTACTAGATAAAATATTGTATATTACTAGATAAAATATCGTATATTACTAGATAAAATATCGTATATTACTAGATAAAATATCGTATTTCACTATATAAAATATCGTGTCTTACTATGATATAAAATTATATTGTCAATATTATTCTTAACCAATGAGATAACATACAATCAAAGGATTTACTATCAGTGAAAATGTAACTGGAACGAAACTTCTACTTGCAGGAAGGATCAGTTTCTTTAGTTTTTGTCATTATTTTGTGTTTTTTGGTTAAAAGCATAGACTAATAAAGGCATAGTTAATCTGTAAAATATTTTTTATCTCGAATTAGATACCTGTAAGTGACGTCAACGTGTGTATCAATCCTGATTGGCTGTTGAAACGTGGTATTTGTTTATGTTAGGAACTGTTCTTTTCCTTCCCTTTCGAGTAAACCTAGCCCATCAAATATGACTTTTCTTCAGTAACACATTCTATCTTCTTTCACGAAGGATGATGCTTTTTATTTCTTAATTATCACAAAGACAAGCACTAAATATGTAGAGCATAAACAAACTAATTATGCAACGAAGTTGCCAGACACAGGAAACAAAAATAAT